GTGCCTTCCGCGACGCACGATACACCTCACGAACTGCTTTACCTCTGGTTACACTACGACGCTCATGCTTTCCCTACAAAATTATTACAAAACCTCGTTAGAAACTCAATTTCAGCAGTACAAACTGAGCTACAGGTAATGCACCATACCTCCGGAGTGCACAGGTCAAGATGCACGTGGCGGGTAGCAAGCAGTGGGTCTAGAAGCAAGCGTGCAATCGGTTTCTTCTTCTTCGCGGCGGCATCTTCCTCAATTCCTTTGCGTGTCTTCTGCATGATCATGTACGAGAACTTGGAGCCCTTCTGCCCATGCCAGCGCTTAGTAGTCACTTCACGAGGGCGATTCACTACAGGCGAGCGCTGCACAAAGTGACACCACGTGTTTCCACCTACTGGACACTGTCAACAGCACAAGCAATACGTTTTAAACACCAACAAGGACACATATCCAGCTGCTTCACCTTCCTACCTCATCATGATGCGGGCACGGGGCCACAATGCGCACACCTTCCTTGCCATCTGCATCCTCAGCAACCAAGTCCAGCACAAACTGACGCGCGGATCGCACGTGATGCGACCCCCACGGACTACCACGATCTACAATCACCAGACACCCGTCCTCGCTCAGCAGCTCCCATAGTGCTGAGGTGGTCGCGACACGCTCGAAGTCGTTCGTGATATCTGAAAACACGTAGCTCACCACTACGAGGTCGTATTTGTTGCCAGCATCGATGTCTCTGGACAAGTCGGTGATATTGCGACGCATACTCAAGCCTGGAAATCCCTCGAGCACGACCTCAGCCGCGTCCACCATAGACTGGCTGGGCTCCACCACGCGATATTTATCCAGTGATTGGTCATAGAAATCTTTGGCCACCCAAGATGCCGTACCGGGTCCTGAACCGAAGTCCAGCACGGACTTAGGCTTGAAGTCGGGTAGTCGTTTCTGCAGCTCCGTGAATACAGCGTGTGTGCAGGCGTAAGTGGCCTCCATCTCGTAGGCCAGGAAGGCCAGCGTTTCGGCCGGTCCGTAGGCAAAGGGCGGGATCTGCTGGCTGCGGTCCATGGTCCAGCCCAGAGGTGTCTTGCTCATGTCAAGTGGCACCTGTCGCGTATTCCGGCGGTCACCTACGTGCTTCTGGCGTAGCATCTCGAGCTGCGAGTGCGTGCGGCTGCGTACGACGGATGCAAGACGCTCCAACAGCCCCGTTGGCATCTCCACACGCCGCGCTAGGCCGTTTCGCGAGAGCTCATTAATGTCCGCCAAAATGGAAGGAGTTCGCGGGTCTGTAGACGAATTATCAGCCGCTTTGGCGCTAGTTTTGGATCTACGCAAGCGTCGTGCGCGACGGCTAGCGGCTGGTGAAGAGAAACTGGCTGAAAGCATTGGAGCAGCGGCGGCCGGCGCGAGGCGAGCGCTCAGCTTCCGCAGCATCGTCAGTCGCGACAACATGAATGCGAATCGATGGTGGCGTTTGGCCCAGTCAAAATAATTGGTATTTTTTGGTACCGGTACCGTAAAAAACTCTACTGGGTTATTTGTTGTTAAGAACGGCCCTAAGGCTTACATCACGCCTCTGTTAAGAGCAGCCCTTTTAGGGCCGTTGCTAAAAACTTGAAGTACATTAAATAAATGGGTTTTTCAAATTGATTTTTTAACTTCACACATTCTGTTTGGGGTATAACTACAAATAACGGACGCGCCCTATTAGAGTCCGGACTATATTAAATACGAAAGTGACAGAGAGGCCTTTAAACGGGTAGGGACTTTATTCCTTGCTGAAATGATTCGTGTACCAGGTTAACCCTTTCACTACCAGATATTTTTTAGAGGTCCGCTGCGGACCTCTACCTCGACCACTAAGCCTATAGCAGCAAAACTAAAACAGCCTATGAGACCTCACCATATTCCCACGTGGTTCGTGAATTCGCAGAGGGAAGTCACTCACGGTACTGCTTCATAATTTGAAAATTCAAACTGACAGGTAGAGATGGTTAACGGGCTGGGGGCGCTCGAAGGGGTGGAGACGCTGGCGGCGCCGCGACAGACGTGCAGCTACTGCGGGGACACGCCGTGTGAATGGGAGCAGTACGGCAAGTACATCATTGGCAGCAGGCTCCGCATGCTGACAAGAGAGCAGAAGACGCGTTCACCGCGAAGAATCAAGAAGGCTCTAGCGCAACTCTATTTTTACAGGAAGTATGGACGCCTGTGCAAGGTGAAGCACATCGAGCTCCCGCTCTGCGTCGACAAGCAAATATCGCGCCTCAACAGTATTGTAATGTACGTATACAGAGCTACTCTCTCTTGGTTACGGCAGGTCAAGCTGATCTAGATACGTAATTGTCTTGTTCTTCTTCAGACGCGTGTGTACATCCGAGTCTCCTGACGCTTTAGCACACACTGCGTACAGTGCTGATCGAACGTTTGGCGTGTCAGACGTAAGAGCGTCTCGGAAGTGAAATGCGCTGTAGCAGGAGACGTGAAAACTTCGGTGGCACCCTGTGCACCCAAACAGAGCCTTCCTCTTGAACCCACGCAGCGAGCAGAGATAACATGTGAGCCTCCCTTTCGAGTCCTTTCTTGAGTTGGGTGTGATTGCATGAGTGCTGTCGTCAGCTCCCACAGTATCTTCTATGGGCTGGTTTGGAGCTGCCTGTTGATGTCGCTCCTTCTGCAGCCGTGTTCGCTGTACATGCGTCAACTTATCCGCTACTCGCCGCTTGAACTCGCGCAGCGATACACGTGCTGCAGCATCACCTGCCACCTTTCGGAACAGCGAGAATGCGTTGATGAGTGCGAGATCTAGTGCCCACGTAAGGATACTCATGGATAGCCGTCTCTCCTTTCGACGGATCGGGTTGGTGCTCCTTAGTTGATCGACTCGGTCGACCCCGTTCATGAAGAGGTTGTATGCGACGATCATTGCAGGTACCTGGAAGGTTTTGCGGTGCATGACTTGATCTCCTGTCCATCGCTGAAGTGGAGCAAGACCACGACATAGATGGATCGCCTCCTGTGAGTCACCAAGCAGTACTTCCTGCGACGGAGTACCTGCCAGATCGCTAGTGTAAAAGACCACAGTTTTCTTGTCTCGGAAGACGATGTAGCCTGCGTTTATCGCTGTCGTAGTTGGCGGAACGTACGGCGTCTGTAGATGTGCTGGAAGTTTTTTCTGTGCGCGTTTGTGCTTTTCCTGTTGCTTCTCCCAGTCGGCTGGAACATCGAGAGCCGCGAGAAGCTCCCACGAGCCTCGCTCAGCATGGTCGATTCTGCCCTTTGACGCCTCTAACCGCTCGGCCATCCACTTGCCCTGCAAACCGATTCGGACAGTACCTAGCATCTTCATCTCGCCGTCCGTAAACATTGTGAGCGTCCTGGCTAGATTGTGGCGAGTATAAAAGTTATCGCATACGAGCAAGCGGTGCTGATTCGGCGCTGGGTACGTCTTGGTGAGGTGGCCGCACATCGCCATCCACAACGAGCTAGCATCCTTGCGCTTGATAGGGACGTCTTCACGCTCTATAGTCCTAAACAAGGCGGGTTTGAGTTCAGGAAACGTATCTACGTATCTGTCAGCTGGAGTTGTGTTAGTTCGATTGCCAGAACCATTATCCCACACGGAGTAGGCATAAAGACTCTCCCAGCCAACGACAGCGTAGAAGCGGACGCCATACTTGTCTGGCTTTGACGGCAGGAACGTCCTTGCCGAAGATCGCGCTTTTGTGCGTGCAGTATTCTCATCTAAACACACCGCACCGACCGGGACGGCTATTGCTGCAAACTTCTGCTGAATCTGCCTCATTAGTCGCCGACTGTGCCACAAAGGATCCTGCTCTCGCCGGGTAACAGGCACACTTCCAGGTGCATGCACTTGAAACCTGGCTCGGATATGCTCAAAACGATTTCTCGCCATCGTCGCTACAAAGTCGGATTGCCCCATTAATGGTTTTTGAGACCATAGCTCCTTGATTTCCGTCACAGGATTGAAGCTCATTGCAATCTCTAACCCGATGTAAGCATCCAGCTCACACACAGTCGCCTCACGTTGCCCTTTATCTCTGAGCATCTCGTTAGTCCACATGTGCAACGAGCCCCGAAACGCTCGTGTGAAGAACAGGGAGAACAGCCCAAGCTCGCCCCGCTCTTTGAAAGCAGCTTTGACCTCTGCCATTCGAATTATGTGCAGGCCGCTGTCATGGATGATGCGATCCACGTACGCGTTGCCAGTGCGTCTCTCAGCGGCTGGAAGTTCCGCCTCGCTGTCGGGCATGCTGCTGTCGGGCATGCTGTCCTCGTCCACGTCATTAGCTTCACCGATCCCCTCTTCTTCAGTATCAGACCCTTCAAAGTCCCAGTCCGCGTCGCCTGATTCATCGTCGTTCAGCAGCACTGTGATGTCCATTGCTGCAGGAAGAACGCAAAGTGCAGTCGGCGCTGCGGATTTATTGTGAAATTGCGGATAGGCGGCAAAATTTGTGCGGTAGAGGCTCCAACAGGTCCCCTAACTATTGTGTCCGTCATAGTACTGTGGTTGGGATAGGTTGTTAGAGGACCGCTGCAGACCTGTTAGTCGTGGTGAGCTCGACGCCCTACCCTCGCAAAATGAAATATAGCCAATCATTGACAGCTAGTACGGCTGTTAGAGGTTCGCTGCGGACCTTTAAGCAGCCCAGATTTGGCTGGTAGTGAAAGGGTTAATATCGTCTAGCGCATCATCTAACTCTGAAAGATTTAACAGATCCACGTCTTCGTTCATATGCGGTTCCTTCGACCACTTTTCACGAAATTTTGCGTCTTACACATCGTGCTTGGATATAAACCACGACGAGGGGTCTCTCGAGAAGCCTGCTATTTCAACGCTCCGCATGATTGTTGCCTCATCCGTGTCTCGCCACGCGCGGAGGCCCCAATCACAAACGGTGTCAACACTTGGCATACGTGGGTTACCAAAGCGAGTGTATTCGACTCGGTCTGAATCTTTCCAAGCGTTAATTTCCATGTGCAGTAGGTCCTTGAAACGACATCTTTAAATTGATCACCTCTTGCTTACGCCCAATGCTAACTGACTGCCTTTGATGAGGCATTATTGGAAATGACGGGAAAGTGTTTTTCTCTGTAGAATGGATGGTCAGCAAGTTTGTAACAGCAGATTTGGTAGTTTTTATAGGGACTCTATTCAGGAGGGGCTTGTATTTTTATAGTGCAGGCATGTAGCACCCCACAGGACACTATTCGGTAGGGGGCTTTTATTCGGGCGAATGATCTACTGGCGGTTGTCTTAACCCTTCTAGCCCGTTATTCTGTATCATACAGAATAAGCAGTTTTACAGTAATAAATATTCAACAAAGTTGGCTACGAACCGATTCTTCGCATATAGTGATTAGTAAGGGTAATAGTCAGCTTAGAGCACCACCGCTACGTGAGGCCTGGGGTCAAGGGTCGTCTAGATGAAGCGAGACGTGGGGAGGACTTCTTTGAAGGTAAGCGTGGGCTGTATTAACAGTCCGGGTGTTACGCTAATGTCTGCATGATCTAACAGGCGAAGAAGAACTAATGGCGTATGGCTGACGCTCTGGGTGCCTTCAGCTGTCGCTTGATGGTGATGCATACCATACCAGTATTCCCAAAGGCAAACAAGCGTGTAACGCTGACGCAGGACTTCAGCCTCCGATGTCTTTTCCTACAGAGTTGGCACCCCATGCTGACGCGCCAGAACCAGTTACGACAGTGCAGCCATGTCCGTGTCCCAGTCCGGTGAATACGAATGAGCAGCCATCTACATTACACCAGCGTTCAGTCGAGCCTGAGCTTCCGTCTTTGGGAGAAGGTTGCTTGTGTCTTCGACTCCTATTCTGGCCTCTACAGAACAAGAAGCTGTCACTGCCACTTGTGTTCCGGATATTACAGAGTACGAGGAACGTAAATGTCAGAGCGACAGTGAGCAGAAAGGGGCCGAAAGCGTAAGCACGGCTCTCGATGCACCATCAGGTCCTGCGAATCCTGATATATTTGATAACGATAACTTCATGAAGGGGCTACGGTCGGAGAAGCTGTTCGGTGATACAGATCTGGACGATGTGAACCTGATGGAGAATCTAACGACAATGATTCCGAGTCTGATGCCGACGACGGAGACATCATGGCTGATAATGAGTTAGATACTCTCGTCGTAGCAGACGTACAAGATGTCGACGATGTGGCACTGAATGAAGGTGATCCAGACAACGGTATATTTGACTTGACGTCCGATGAACTGCGGGTTTTGCGGAGTCAGGCTGGACAGTTTACGATGAAGAACGTAGTGGTAAGTTAAAGTATACATACTATTATCAATTTTGGAATGCTAATTCTGTATAATACGATATAGTACTTTCTCAGGTAATTTGCAATTAAACGCAGCGACAGACTATTACGATGGACCTTGGGGGCCGACCTGCTCGGCTGTTGAATACCGCATAACCGATCTCATAGAGCGCAGGGTTGTCGCCATTATGGTTAATGCTCCATCCAACACGAAAATGTCAGTACGGCTCTATCTATTTGGTCAGTCACAACGATTCTCTAACTGCGCGTGCGTGTCTGTGTAGGCCCCCCAAGACTAATGGAAAAGTTCCCTTTGTGGGGGGAGGATAGAGGTTCGTTTCCTCTCAGCAGTGTATTCTTCGTTATCGACAAGCTACACTACCACAACAAGGTCTTCATCTACGTCAGCCGCCTCGATGTCCCTGGATGGATCAATGCTCTCCGTTGCCACGCAATGCTGCTGCAGAATCTCGATCAGCTCGTGCCAACTTGGTTCTTGAGAAACTTCGCGTGCAGGCGGCGATGGCGTGACGGTATCGCAGAGATCAGTCTTTCGGAAGCCCGCAGTGATAGTAGCGCTTGACAGGGAGGCCCACGCGCTTTTGATCCAGCTGACGATGTTGTGGCGCTCCGGTGCCGCCATCTTGAAAGCCACGCCAGCTCAAGCAGCTCTAGCTTGTGAAAAAAAATCAATCCACTCCTTTCGCAAATGGTTCTTGAACGGTCGATTCCAAGCAACATCAGCAGGCTGGCACACATACGTATAATCTGGTGGAATCTTCATCAGGTGCACGTCGAGAAGCCGAGCAAAGATCATCACATCTTTGCGCCAGTGTCCAGAGAAGTCATCCCACAACAGGAGGACTGGCTCGTGCATATTGGCTCGGTGACCAAAATGCCAAGCCAAAAAGTCGATGGATAGCTCGCTATTCCACCAGCCGGCGCCGTTAGTGTAGATGCGAGTGCCGCGCTGCAGGCACTCGAGTTCACGCCAGAGTCTGCGCCCAAAGCCATGGCGGATTGCCACGTTCTCGCGTGCCGTCTCCGGGACGCTGGACGGCTTGGTCTTGAATACGATGAACGGGTCCATCTTGGTGCCATCACTAGCAGCTAGTAGCATCACAGTGGCACGTTCCTTAATCTTTCCAGCACACTTGACCCACACGGTCTTGGCACCGCGGCTAGTAATTGTGCGTGACGGCACATACTCGTAGTTTACAGCTGCATTATACTGTTAGTGATCCATATGAACTTGATAAGAGAGTAGTAAACTCACCTGTCTGGTCTGCATTGTAGAGTCGCCTCGCCCCTAGCTCTTGCATCTTGGCGCGGACTTCCCTGCTAAACTCCTCAGCTTTCTTGGCAGCGTCTGCCGATGTTGCTTGTCCCTCGAGAGTGCGGCGACGGATAGACAATTTGTGGCGGCGGAGAAAATGCTTTCTCCAGCTCCGAGACGCTGCAAAATCAGCCGATGACGAGCTGCTGCTCCGGTAGACTTCCTGAGCTTGCAGCTTGAGCATCAAGGCTGTCACGGGTACTCCGTCGGCTCTGAGTGAGTTTATCCACCGCACCAACTGCTCCTCCGCCTGCACGGAAAGGGTCGTGCTCAAGCCGGCGCGACGGTCACGCTGGTGAAAGCGGGCACCTTGGTTGCACTTTGTCTCGATCACCTGTCTGGCCTTCTTCCAGGCATACACCTACAGCTCCCTGGCAAGAAATAGAAGAACATGCCGAGTGGGAGTTCGCGTACCGCATAACCGATCTCATAGAGCGCACATATCTCTTAAAGCGTACTCAGCGAAAGCCAATCAGATCTTCAGGTGTTGGAAACAAGATAAACATAACTCATAAAGTACACCCGATTTTATTGAAATTTACATTGGAGAATATCTGATAAAGCACACCCCGTCCCAGCCATCAATTAACAATGCATGCCTGCTTCCTTTTGCTTGTTCATTTCTCATCTTGCATTGGCAAAGATGGCGATTGTGGGAAGGCCGCGTCCGACCGGTTTTGGATCTCGTCCGAAGCAGTACAAACGAACTGCTGTCTCCTACGACTACAAATTGAGGGTTCTAAAGCACTTAGATACGTCAACTATGGCTAATACTGTAGAGTTGTTGTTTCCAGGAGTCACCTCTGCTGAGGCAAAGACGAAAAAGCGCCAGGAAATGTGCTCTGTCGAAAACTGTACCCGTAAATGCTACAAGGCTACACCTTGCTGCTGGAACCATCGCGGTCACGTGAGTAAATTCACTGCGGTTGATAAGCCCGTTGTAGAATCAGTTCCTGAAATAGTCGTCAAGCCGATTGTAGAACCAGATTCAGTTGTTGAAGCCATCGCCGAACCAGCTGTTGAGACCATTGTTGAAGCAGTCATGCCAGTTGTCAAGCCGGTTCGAATTGCCAACGACACTAACCGGTACCGACAGCAGACTATTGGTGCTGTCTCGGCTTCCCGTCGAGCTAAAATACTCGCACGTCAGGCTGAAGGCCCAAGAGTGAGTATTTCGAGCTTAGAAAAATACGAAGAACGACTGAACAAGCTCAAGCAAATTCAGCCACAAGAAATCGTGCACGTGGTAGCCCTACTGATTGCACGATTCATTGCTCCCATTCGGGATGGTCTTGCCAAACACTGGTCGATTGATGAAAATGGAGTTATAACACTTTCGAGATTCATGAAGCGAGATAGATTCGAGGCTATCATGCAGCTCTTGCACTTTAGCAATAACGGAGACGAAGAAGCACATCGGGATAAGGCTTGGAAGATCAGGCCGCTCTTACATACAGTGGAGAATACATTTCGGCGAGGCTATCGCCTCGTTTCCTTTGACGAAGGCATGATGCCAATCCGCATTAAATTTAATCCGATGCGAGTGTTCATGCCGGACAAGCCCAGCAAATACGGAACCAAGTTCTACGTGACGTGTTGCGCCGAGACCGCATACTGCGCGAGGTGAGAATCTTTCTATTTGTCTAGAATTATCTTAGTTAGGTGCTACAGAATAACTAACATGCGCTTATGGTATTCTGTATTCTACTGATTTAGAGTGGAGATTTACTGTGGAGCAGACAAGAATAAGAAGCAAAAAAAGAAAACGAATCATGACACTTTGGGACTTGGGCCTCTGGCCGTCATGAGCAACATATCCAAGGCGCTCGCCGACCAGCTGGCAAAACGACACATCGTCACGAACAGCTTCTACTCATCCGTATCACTGAGTCTGACCTACTGGGGTTGTATCACGTCGGTACTGCGCGGGTAGACCGGTTAGGCTGGTGTCCGCTTGAGTTCACGCAGAGGACGAGACCGAAGAAAATGCCACGAGGTACTTACCACATAGCACAAGCGCGTGACCATCCTCAGCTTATTGCGCTCAGCTGGATGGAATAAAATCCGGTGAACATGCTGGCGACAGGTTGCAGTACAAACCTGACAAGCGCTAATCGCGCGGAAAATGACGGCAGCCGCAGTACAGTACCTTGCCTACAGCTGGTGGTGGACTACGGCCTCGGCATGGGAGGCGTAGACGTCCACGATCAGCTCAGGCCGCAGCGTTACAGCATTCAGAAGTGCATTGCACTACGGAAATACTACCGACAGATATTTCTATGCATTGTAGACATGACAGTAGTGAATCGATGCATCGTTCAATGTATTACGCTCAAGAATAAAGGTTTTGCTCCGCCAACCCACGCCGATTATTTGCGCCGGCTGCACAACCAGTTGCTGGCGCTGCAAACAATCAATTTTGATACCCACCTAAATGCCGAAGACCCGGTGACTGTACCTATTCAACACAAAAAAAAACAAGTGGGTGAACACAGCTGACTTCTATTCTTCGAGCAAGCTAACCAAGCGGCGACAGTACCTTTGTAAAGTGTGTTCGGCGTTCTCGGCCACGAAAAAGAAGTCTTTCGAAACCAGCTATTACTGCGAGGACTGCAGCGAAATCTTTGGCGGTCGGGTGCCGCTTTGCGATAGTATCCGACGCAAGGATGAAGGGAACAAAAGTACATGTTACGAGGTGTGGCACGAAATCTGGAACAATGGTAAGAGTATTCCATCTGAGCTAACTAAAAAGATCCGATTCCGCGAGAGGAGATGTAAGTAAAAATTAAACGCATGAGTGCGACTCACTTGTATGATTTCGTTGGCACGTTATCGTCGCCTCTGCTGGGAAAAATCGCCTAGCTCCTCCTCACTAATCGTTAGTTAGGAAATGGGCGATTTCCCCCCTTCGTGCTCATTTCGTGTGGGCCACTTCCACAGTAATGAATGGCTCCAGTCTATCGCTCGACTACAGCAGAATCGACAGGTATTTTAGACATGCAGGTTTTGCCTCTATTTTTACACGAACCCAGCCAATAGAAGATTGATACCCTCGCAGATGTTGGATACATTGGTGATATTATGTCCACTTTCGTCGCTGTTTGTGTTTGGCTTGCCCGTTCCTAAGACATAGCTAGCGGAGGAAGATAAAATAGCATAACTCTCGCAGGTTTGAAAATATACTTTAATCAAGATATTTACTTTTTCTATATAATATAGAATAAAACCTCGGGCTGTCGGTGAGTTCGAAGCTCTGTAGCGAGGGTTCATCCGGCAAGGCCAAGAGACTTTGTGTATTGGCAGATTACTAACGCATGAGTGCGACTCACTTGTATGATTTCGTTGGCACGTTATCGTCGCCTCTGCTGGGAAAAATCGCCTAGCTTCTCCTCACTTATCGTTAGTTAGGAACTGGGCGATTTCCCCCCTTCGTGCTCATTTCGTGTGGGCCACTTCCACAGTAATGAATGGCTCCAGTCTATCGCTCGACTACAACAGAATCGACAGGTATTTTAGACA